ATCGGGCGGCAAAGTATCGCGATATATTGCCGTATCGATATTTTTACCCACCCCTATTCTTCTACCATCACTGCTCAGTTCAACTGGTGCGTTTACAAACCACAACACAAAAATCCTGGATATTACACCTTTTTAAAATATTGTTTAACAGATACATTGTCAACTAATTCTAGACATTGGTGAGGGCTGCTTCTTCTCTTATACTCTGTGCCGCTTGCAGCAGTATATTAAATCATAGTGCACTCTGCTGGATAAACCTTGTGGTGACACTTATTACCTCAAGCATTTTTTTTCCCTGTATCATATACAGGGAAAAAACACATTGGATAATACAGATAACAATGTGTCTACTATAGGTCACTATCGGTCCATAAGATAAGACTGTTTTCAAGAATTAAGTGAATAAATCACATCTCTCCTTTCTTTGGTAGCGGTAAGAAAGCAGGGCTTCCACAACCCCAACAGATTCAGCAGAGAACCATGTGAGTGCAACTCAAAACTTATTATATTAATTCACAAATCACTTGCATTCATTGATGTAGTTATTTTACATGCTTCACTTGTGTTCTTTGTTTTAGTGTACCGAGTCATCAAAAACCAACCTCCCCCCGTCCTGTCAATCAACCTGGACCACAACCCATTTAAGTGCAGCGCTCCCGGCTGCACAAAGTCATTCCGTAAGGCCAAGCTTCTGCACTACCATATGAAATATTACCATGGCGAGGAGCAGCCTGTGGAGGGGGAGCGCAGCCCCACCAGGAGTGTCCAGACCAGGGCCTCTGAGAAACAGGTTACTGCCACCGGTTTGGATGGCCCAAAGAGAAGACGCACCATCTCTGCTTCTATGCGTGAGTTCCTTTGTAGATTCTGTCCCAACTGAAATATTAGAAACTGGATCAGCTGCAATTTTCTACAATGTTCAAACCAAATGCATATTATGCAACAACATAAGCAGAAATGCTGAATCAAAACATATCCATCCATGCTCAGAATCAGGGTTTTAGGCTTACATTTGCCGTTTTTCATTCATTCATTTTCAGACTCAGTTGGAACTGCCGCAGCTCCCCGTGGTGAGGTGAAGACCGCAGGCAGACGAACGTCAGCCCCGCCTGTAGTCAACACACAGGGCCATCAGCAGAGGGCGCTGCTGAGGGAGAAGAGCAAAGAGAACCAACTGGACAGGAACGGCTGCCAGCAGCAAGACAAGGATTTAGACAAGAGTTGCTTTGACATTGGTCAGTATCCTGCAGTAAGGTGTTTTTTATGTGAGAAAATGACTGCAGTGTCTATTGCATAGAGTCCTACCTTTGTACAGTAAAATTCAGGTTATGAAATGGTTACCTGCCATGTTAGTATGCACAGATGAGGCTTAACTCTTGCCACTTGACGGTCCCCAGGGTCAGTAAAAGACAAACTGAAAGAGAAACCGAAACAGAAGGACTTCCTCCGCATTAAATTAAAGAAGAAGAAGAAGAAAAAGAAGGCGAAGTCTGGTAAGAAGGGGTCCCTAGCATCAGGCCTCCTTATATATCTGCTGCTCTGCATGTGCACTCACTGTGACCTTGTGGAAATGGCTAGCCTGCAAAGCATATAGCACTCCATTCACTCCTCTTGGTGTGGTGGCTGAGCCTTTGTGTGTGGGAGAAGTGTCGCATCTGTCGCTGGCCTCTGTCACTCCATTTTGCCAATCAAAAAGCTCCAACTCATTTCTTTTACATCATTGCTCGCATTTGCTCTTGTACACAACAACTGTGACAGTGCTGGTGATGAAAAGCCAGCTTTTGATTGTGGCACTGATATTGATTACCGTAATCCAAACACAAATCCAACACGGTTCTCTCTATTCCTAGTTTGCATTCACATTTATATACAGTAGGTTTGGCATGCACACAGATCCACATTGGTTATTTCATACTCTTAAAAGGCCCGAAACACTGGCCGGTATGGATTTTTCTCAAGGTGATTGTCCCTGACTGTTCATGAGTCTATTATTTGTCCATGTTTGTTATGCCACAGTTTGTCACCTCCTGATGGCAGTTTGTTTAGCATTTTTAAAGTTGACATTTTGTTCTACGTCTGCTTCCCCCCCCCCTTCCCTGTATTAACAGACTACACGG